TAATTGTGTAGATTTCTCTTCATATTTCATCTCTGTATTAAAGAATTATTTAACTTCACACGAATTGTTTTAACGCTATTGACATATCGTTTCGTGGTGTGTTGATTGAAGCAAAGAAAACAGACTCGACAGGTATGTGTAGTCTAGACCAGGGGTCGGCAACCTTTTGCTAACTATGTGCCGACTTAGGGTTTTAAAATCATTCAGTGTGCCAACAGTATACATATTTTTTATACAAGTCAAGGTCAATATAGCTGTTCTACAATATATTTTAAATAGTAAGTAATATATAGTATATATAGTATATACGTTAGTATATATTAAAAGTAAACAGCTAAATATCTTCTTTTCTTATTTGCGGCTGCGTGCCATTGGGAATTGCTTGGCGTGCCGTAGGTGGCTGACGCCTGTTCTAGGCAAACGGAGCAGTGCAATTGGGGTCTGTTCTCACATAAAAACAGTTACCGAAAGAGCAAAAAAAAAAAAAAAAAAAAGATCGACCTGGTCTCGCCGCTAGTAGACCAACACTCTCCCTGTCGGATGACTGTGGTGCCTCAATCAGCTAAAGACCTGTTCTCTACGCCGCTTTTCAGCTATAACTGCAACTGCCATTCAACCTCTTCCTCTCAGCTGAAGAATTCCTTATACGGGGGAAATTTCTTCAAATCCCTTTTGTTTATGCATTCATGATCTTAATCAGTTATAGTACCATGAATAAAAAATCGTTATTTTTACATTTGTTAATAAGTGTTGTTGAAGTTAATTAAGTTGATTGGCGACACTGATGACTTAAGTCTTTCTCAAGCATAGCCAAGACAGAGAGGGAGTCAAGCCTAATCTTCGACAGTTCTTCACCCATATTCTTATTTGCGTTGTAGTAGTTAATGGTTCGGACTTTGTGATGTCATTTGCGGCTGCGTGCCATTAGAAATTGCTTGGCGGCTCACGTGTGGCACGCGTGCCATAGGTTGCCGGAACCCCGGTCTAGACTGGCAGAAGAGCTAGAGGTAGTAAACGAGAGATGTCCGGCTCAGACCTGTTTCATATGAATGACCCTTGTAGTAAAGTAAAACCCTTGTAATGATGAAATATTATACACTATAATCGTACATGACACTCAACCTGGGTATGACGATAAACTACATCCGCGTCCTGGGTATGACGATAAACTACATCCGCGTCCTAGGTGAGACGATAAAATACGTCCAACAGCAAGGCTTCTGATCAGGAGGGTTTGAGGAGCGTGGAACCACCTCTTAATTGCTGGTGTTCCCAGGTACACCCCATTAGGGCAAATAGTTAAACCCCAAACTGGAGTTAAAACACTATTAAAGTGTAAAAATAGGCTTTAGTACCAGCATTAAATTTTTTGAGGAAGAATTATTACCAGCAATACACTTTTAAGGAAAAAATATTACCAGCAATACATTTTTGAAGGAAAAAAATGTTACAAGCAATACATTTTTGAAGGAAAAAAATATTACCAGCAATATATTTTTGAAGAAAAAAAATTACCAGCAATACATTTTTGAAGGAAAAAAAATGTTACAAGCAATACATTTTTGAATGAAAAAAAATTTCCAGCAATACATTTTTGAAGAAAAAAATATTACCAGCAATTAAAGTCTTGTCGGCATTAAATAACCCATTGAGGTTGATACGCCGTAAAAAAAAAAACAAAAAAAAAAAAACGTACATCGCACACGGTACAAAATCGGAAAAAATAATCAGTGTTTACTTCAACTTTTCATACCTATTTAATTCTCATCAAAATCGTGAAATGGAAGTTAGATCCTTTTATACAAACGCAAATTCTACTTTGTTTTTAATTTTCATTAATGACCTTCCCGATAGCAACAGCTCTCAAACTGGTATCTATGCAGATGACACAACCATTTACTCCTGCCTCCATATTAAGTCTGATCAGTTCGATAAGGCGAAAATTGGCGGCTGATGAGAAACCCTCTTCCAGCCTTCGATCTACATAGCTGATGCTATCCTCCAGGAGAGTGACTCGTTGCGTATTATCGGGTTACCATTCTTGGCTGTAGTGGAAAGACTACATTGAATCCATTTTAAGGTGAACTGCTGAGAAGTTTGGTTGACTGTGCCGTGCGAGACACTTTTTCTCTTCAGAATCTATCTTACATATCTATAAGCCTATCATTCGTCCATGCTTAGAATATTGTTCTCACATATGGTGCGGTGCTCCTGCTATATATTTAGAGATTCTTGATAAAATCCAAAGAAGAATCTCTTACATATTTATAAGTCTACCATTCATCCTTGCTTTGAATATTGCTGTCACATCTGGTCTGGTGCTTCTGCTATATATTTAGAGATCCTTGATAAAATCCAAAGAAGAATCTATCTTACATATTTATAAGTCTACCATTCATCCTTGCTTTGAATATTGCTGTCACATCTGGTCTGGTGCTTCTGCTATATATTTAGAGATCCTTGATAAAATCCAAAGAAGAATCTATCTTACATATTTATAAGTCTACCATTCATCCTTGCTTTGAATATTGTTGTCACATATGGTCTGGTGCTCCTGCTATATATTTAGAGATCCTTGATAAAATCCAAAGAAGAATCTATCTTACATATTTATAAGTCTACCATTCATCCTTGCTTTGAATATTGCTGTCACATCTGGTCTGGTGCTTCTGCTATATATTTAGAGATCCTTGATAAAATCAAAAGAAGAATCTATCTTATGGTCTACCATTCATCCTTGCTTTGAATATTGCTGTCACATATGGTCTGGTGCTTCTGCTATATATTTAGAGATCCTTGATAAAATCCAAAGAAGAATCTATCTTACATATTTATAAGTCTACCATTCATCCTTGCTTTGAATATTGCTGTCACATATGGTCTGGTGCTTCTGCTATATATTTAGAGATCCTTGATAAAATCCAAAGAAGAATCTATCTTACATATTTATAAGTCTACCATTCATCCTTGCTTTGAATATTGTTGTCACATATGGTCTGGTGCTCCTGCTATATATTTAGAGATCCTTGATAAAATCCAAAGAAGAATCTATCTTACATATTTATAAGTCTACCATTCATCCTTGCTTTGAATATTGCTGTCACATCTGGTCTGGTGCTTCTGCTATATATTTAGAGATCCTTGATAAAATCCAAAGAAGAATCTATCTTACATATTTATAAGTCTACCATTCATCCTTATTTGAATATTGCTGTCACATTCTGGTCCTGCTATATATTTAGAGATCCTTGATAAAATCCAAAGAAGAATCTATCTTACATATTTATAAGTCTACCATTCATCCTTGCTTTAAATATTGTTGTCACATATGGTCCGGTGATCCTGCTATATATCTAGAGATCCTTCATAAAATCCAAAGAAGAATCAGCGATATTATCGGTCCTGGTCTGGCGGCTCGGCTTCAGTCACTTTCCCACCGCCGCAGGGTTGTCTCTGTGTGCCTTTTCTAAAAATTCTTTTATGGTAATTGTTCGCACGAGCGCTTCGTTATGGTGCCTAGACTCTTTGAATTTAAGTGAAGTACTAGAATGGCGTCGAGGTCTCATCAATTTACAGTTGAGCTGGCTAGATGTAACCGTAAGTTCTATGCTAACAGTTTCTTTTCTCGCACCTCTCGCTTGTAGAACTCTTTTCCAGCTCTATGCTTTCCAGTCAGCTTAAATCTTCAAAAATGTAAGTGCAATGTCAATCGCTATCTACTGCCAGCCTGATTACTTTTCTATTGATTTCGCAACCCCTTCTGTTTCCTAATACCTCACAATAAGTAACTCCTTGCATCTTAGTGGCTTTACTGCTGTAATCGAGACTAGGTTTTCCCCTACAAGACCGCATAAACGATTTTGAAAGTGAGAATTCTGTAACGCCAACTCATGTATGTTGATTAAGAAAATGCGTTAAGTAAAAAGAAGAAATTCCCGACTCTAGGGACAATTTAGGATAATAAATAGATAAATAATTTTCTATTATAAATAGATAAATAATTTTCTATTAGATTAAAAAAAGCAACATTAGAATAAAAAAGAAATGAAAGAAAAAACCCCCGAGAAAGTCTTTATCACATGGGCTATGGCTAATCAAATACAATTTCTCCGATGTCATTAAGTGATTTCCGAAAATTAGTTTTAAAGACACTCGATAAAACTTTGGTTTTATAAAATATTTTTACATGAGAACCACTTAAAATAACGGTTTACTGTTAAAACGGATATGATGAATAAAGTGTGTGACGTGAGTAAAAGAGGGAGCAGTAAGAAGTGAAGATTAAGATAATAAAGACGACAGATAATGGCTGATCTTGACTTGACGAGGTTAAGATGGTCGTGTTCAAGGAAGCCTCTAGGCAGGAGCCTCTTCCACAAAGTAGCGTTTCTTGGAGAAAAAAAGGTTGTCCGATTTGGACTTCCATTTTACGTTTGGAACGCGGAAGCAATGACGGTCTTTCTACTCCGTCGAAATGGCATGGAGTGTCCTAGCTGTAAAGGTCTGAACTGGAGGATCTAAAGAATGGATGTTATCCGAACATTTGCCATGGACATAGCGACAGGACAGCGACGTTGGGTCTGTTTTTTTAAAAAAAAAACAGCGTAATGGAGACTAGTTTTCCCCTACAAAACCGCATTAACGATTTTGAACTCTATCAAGACTGGAAAGTGAGGATTGTGTAGCGCCAGCTCATGTATGTTGATTAAGAAAGTAAGTTAAGTAAAAAGAAGAAGAAATCTCCCCATGCTAGGGACAATTTAGAATAATAAATAAATAATTTTCTAAATAATTAAATTAATTAATTCCATTATTCAACATATTTTTCTTCTAACCAAGAATCTTAGAATTTTTTCTTGGTAGAAGCTTTCGTGTGAAGTCCGAATAAACTTCTGATAAGGATTGAACTCGAATACAATATTTCAGGAGTTCATCTTAGTGGTACTATCCGTTTCATAGCCAGATTAGGAAAGATGAGTTCCCTTGAAATAGAATGACTTACGGCTCTATCACGTTGAGATACCGATTTCCGTAGGATCACTAAAATTAAGCAATGTCGCGCCTGATTAGTATCTAGATGGGTGACCTCTTGAAAAGACCAGCTGCTGTAATCTTGGATGTGCATGTTGTTTGGCTTACGGCCACATCACGTTGAAACACCGGTTCCCGTAGGATCATCAAAGTTAAGCAATGTCGCGCCTGGTCAGTATCTAGATGGGTGACCGTTTGGGAAGGCCAGGTGCTGTAAGCTTGGATGTGCAGGTGGTATAGCTTACGGCTATATCACGTTGAATCATCGGTTACCGTACGATCATCGAAGTTAAGCAACGTTGAGACTGGTCAGTATCTAGATGGGTGATCGCTTGAGACTATCAGGTGTTGTGATCTTGGATGTTTAGGTGGTGTAATGTATAATGACTTGGAATTAGAGATAATTATCTTGATATGGTATTCTACTTCCTTATATTTGGGTTGGGCCATGGTGTTTATTTTAGCATCGCATTATGTTTTTGGATTTCATTATTTAAATGTTGGATTTCATTTTTAGCTATTCTTATCTGTTGCAAAACAACGATTTTTTTTAACTTGTAGTGTTACTTTACTTGTTGGGTGCCGGGTTATGTTTTTTTTTTTTTTTTTTTTTTTTTTTTAAGCATTGTGCCCCAAGCAAGGCGTGAAGCCACTCGGATGCAGGGGGGTTTGGAGCGAGAGCAGATAAGAGTGATAGGAGAAAGGAAGAGGAGGAGGATAGTGGGTAGATCAAGGTAACTGGAGATGTCGATTGACATTACATTTGAATAGTTGGAGATTATAGCTTTCGGGGAAACAGTAATTGGGGAGGGTGTTCCACTGGCGAGAGGTGCGAGGTATGAAGCTATTGGAGTAGAAGAGACGGCTACATTTGAAGGTTTCTACGGTGTAAGGGTGAGAGCGTGATGCCAGCCTCGTAGGGCGCTTGAATTCATGGAGTCTGGGAACCAGAGAGAACAGCTCATCAGAGCAGTTACCATGGAAGTATTTGTAGAAAAGACAGAGAGAGGCTACGGCGCGTCTGTGAGAGAGTGACTGTAAGCAAGACGCTAGATCTGGGCCAATTAGATTACATATCCTTCTCTGGATCTTGTCGAGAACTCCGAGGTAAGCAGAAGGTGCTCCAGCCCATATATGGCAGCAATACTCCATGCAAGGGCGAATGGTTGTTTTATATATTTGAAGTATCGAGTCAGGGGAGAAAAATTTCCTGGCTCGGCACAGAGATCCAACTTTCCTCGCGGTGGAAGAAGCAATTGACTCAATGTATTTGTTCCATCTCAGGTCAGCAGTCAGCGTGAGACCGAGCAGACGCAGGGAGTTGCTCTCAGGAAGTTGACTATCAGACATTTTAATGGGGGGCAGGGAAGGATCTCTATGGTGGTTAATGGAGAGTAAATTTAATCATTGCGTGTTTAGGCAGCAATCACTCTTTTATACAATTTCATTAAAAACAACTGACAAGGTACTGCGTTAATTTATGTCTGGTAGTTTTTGACCGAAGCCGAATATAATGAAGCACAATACTATATCAATTTAAGTATTAATGATAACGAACTTAAACACAGACAAATTATAACGAAAAAGCTTTGCAATTTATACCAAGAAAATATTCTACTTCCCAACAACGGTGATCTCTATAAAAGGCAGGATATGTGTGTGTGTAACGAATGCACGGCCGCAATTTTCGACGGATTTGCACCAAAATTTACATGCACATGCTCCAAGTTAGCTGGAAGGCCAAGACCGACTTTGCATTTACCAACTCCCATCGATAGTGGAAATAATCGATCTTTTCATGCTTCTACGGCAGTTTTCATGTAGTTTGCGGCCATTTTCTACTGGCCAGAGTGAGAGCCTATAGCTGACTGCCACGAATAGGCAGGAAGATTCTATTGGCCAGCGTGAGAGCCAACAGTTGACTGACACGAATGTTAACTAGCATGCTAGCATGCAAAAAAAAAATCGATAGCTGCATTCGTCACAAGTGGGAAAAATTTAAATCTGCATGGCACATTACTCCAATTGGCTCATTCGCTTGCCTCCAATTGGCTCAACGTTGATTCTGATTCCGCAGAACTGGGTTGGGTGTGAAAAAGTATTTGTTGTTAACATTCTTTTTTCATTCGGTTTTTCCAGTTACGAGTCCTTTTTTAAAGCTGATCGTTTTGTGTTCATTTTGTTTAGTTCTTTTTTCGCAACAGATTTAATGTTTAGTATAGAACTTAGAAAAAATTCAGTGTGAGATAGGCAAGAAGTAAGGCATGTAGCAACATCAGCACGGCAAAGGCCACCCCTTTAAAGTCAAGGAAGGGCAAAAATATTTTAAGTCAAGTGATAGCGATTGCTGTATGAGTCGTACGATTTTTGAATCAAGCACATGCTGCTAGTAAATATATAAACTTATCCAATCGCATATTGCCCTAGTACCTTTTCAGTCTGTTTTAATGAAACTTTATACATACATACATACATACATACATATATATATATATATATATATATATATATATATATATATATATATATATATATATGGATAAAATGTCTTAAAATAATTGTCGGACTTTGTCCATTTAATAATGTGTGACGTCATTTGTTTCCATTTGATACACCATGTGCAAATATGAATGTACCTGAGAAATTCATGGATGATTGAAGTCTAAAAGCAGTGGCCAAATTGGTTAAAAGGCACATCAAACTATATGACCGTGCCGTATAGGATACAGGTTCGAATCCTGTCGGAGGACGAATATTTTCTATGAAAATTTCTCGGACATTCAGGCCGGTGAATGTTGTTTATTATAAACAGAGCATTTACTTAAATATTTGTATCTATAAAAAGAAAGTATAAGCATAATATATATATTGTCGTTCACAGACGGACTGTTTCGCTGTAACATAACTCATCAGTGTGGCTTGACGTCCGTTTACCTCTAGCTACGAAACCCGGCTGAATTGTTGTCAGTCGGAGAATCTATCCCTATGAATGTGTATTTATTTTTAGATAAACACGCCAGTGACTGAGAGAACTCGATTTTTATTTTTTATTTATTTTTATATATATATATATATATATATATATATATATATATATAACTGCATCAGATTTTGGATGCAATTTTTTTCTCTGTCCATATGCTGAAATGATGTCTTCCCATAAGGCTATATTTGTGTGTAGAACGTTATCAGTCAACCATGAAAGGAATATCATAATACGTATTGGGTAATCAATAATTATGTTGATATTTCTTTAATTCTTGGATTATTCTGCTAAAGGTTTTTTTCATTTGTAACTGCATGTCGACTAGCAATTTTTTTTCTTTTACGGAGTCACGTTTGTACGGGACATTTTAAAATGATCTCATATATTTGAGGATGAAGTATTTTTGCGACATCTACTCTGTGACACATGGTAGATTTCGTTTTCGTAAAAATATTTACGTACAACAAAGGGGTGCTAAAAAGAGCTCGCTCGAACACTCCCTGAAATATGACCAGATTTTGAGGACACACTTCTTGTCCGGGCTGTTTAGCATTCTATATATATATATATATATATATATATATATATATATATATATATCTTAGTATATACCGTACATACAGCCTGGCCGAGTGTGTGGTATGTAAATATGATGTTCAAGCCCCAGAGCCCACCCCGTAGGCATTAGCTCTCCTTCTGGAGAGAGCTGGGATCATTACCCGACCCTGAGCCATTCCCAAAAATTTGAGCAATGTTTGAAAGGCTGTTGAAATTCTACTTTAAACCACGAACTTGTGTCACATTTTATGCGAGTGGGCTCATGGATAAATATCTATATCCTAAAAAAAAAAAAAAAAAAACACAAACACACACACACACAAACAAACAAACAAACACACACACACACACACACACACACACACACACACACACACACACACACACACATGTTGAATGCTAAAAGGTTAAATATATAATAACAGCTGAGTTATATAACGAGTTATATATAACAATGCTCAATGCAAAATGCTGTAAATTGGCAAGGAGACCACCACAACTCACCGCAAAAGCTGAGCTCCACAGAAGAATGGTAATTTTGGGTGTGGTGGAATCAATGTATTGTTCACTTAGGGTTCTTAAAATTCAATGAAACACTAAAATGCACATTTATCCATCCAGCAGCTGCAACACACCCATAATCGTTTGGCCAGAAATATCCATGCACTCTGCAATAGGAAAAAATGTCATTCTCTTCCATGACAATATAAGGCTGCATGCAGCAAGAATAATAGAGGGAAAAAATTTGGGAACTCATTTGATCTGTTCTAATCCCACCTGTCATATTCACCTGATTTTGCACCAACCAATTATTACCTTAATGATTGCTGCAAAACGCTTTCAGGAGGGAAAACTTTCTTTAATGAAAACCAGATTCAAGAAATTGTTCAAAACGTTTTTGTATCAAAACCTGTGGAATTTTATTCAAAAGGAATCGAAGAGGCGCCTGATAAGTGGTAACAAGTCATCGCAAATAATGGTGAATATATAATTAAATAAAATGTAATTATATTTTCTTCTGAAGAATAAAGCTGATAAACAAAAACGGAAATTATTTATGGTGATCTTCTAAGCGTAATGTGAAACAAGGACGAAAGTATGGAGTACGAGAGAGAGGATCGAACAATGTCTCTAACCATTATACCACATCGACGTACCCAAGCAGAAATTTTTTATAACTTAAATACTATGTTAGGTTAGACAGAAATTTTTGTCGTGGTCACATTGTGGGTAGTTTTTCAATACTTACCGTAAAAAAAACCCATTAATTTTTACGTTTCGTGCGATTTTTTTTTCTTTGGAGATAACAATATCCAAGTGGGAAAATTTTGAACTAATTTTACTTTTTAAAATGAATTTAGATCAGTTCATTATCAGAAACTGTATGTTGTATTAATTCAAAACGGGCTCTTCAGCAAATAAGCATCAAATATTCGTTGTTTATGCAATGTTTCTAATTCATTTATGTAAATGTTGATACTGATATGGTAAACATCCATGTCCACAGATATTTGAAAAAAAAGCTGTTGACTCGAGAACATTGTATAGCGACATAAAAATATCTGAAGACAGTCATAGCTCTCCACAATTGCCTGCTCTTTGTAGCTCTCAATAAATATTGTCATTTCGTTATTTTTCCTAAACATTGTTCCACCATCCATTTACTCAAACTCACTAAATAGGTTATGCTTTGTTTTCCTCTGTTCCTTTTGCTTTCAATATGTCATGTGAGGTTTAAATTTTCCAAGCCCTCCTTCCTCATTATGTGCCCCAGAAATTTCAACTATCACTTCCTGATGTTAATTATGAG